GGGGGAATGGATATTCACAGACTGATCGAGAGGACCCCTTGTAACCAAAGGAAATAAGATAAGATTGCAATTTGCCCTCACTTTGCAGTAGCTTTTAAGCAGCGACATTCAGAGGCGTTAGGGGGTCACTCCCCAGGTTGCAGGTCACGGGGTGCTATAGGCCAGAGTTCAGTGTTTCATCAAAGGAGGGAGGGCAGACTTGGCAACTCTGTAGGGTTTGGAGAAAGTTAAAGCAAGTTACTCAGTTACGAGTTAGAAATGAGGTATACGACAGCTCCTGTACCTGTGGCGGATAAACACCCCACACCTACTCACACCTAGCCTTAGATACTACCACAGAGGAAGGAAATGGAACAACGGCACCGGTGGGGACAAAGAAGCTACTGCCCGGCTCCTTCCCACAGAGCGCTGGCACGCCAGGAGCCCCACGGGGACCAGCGCTGCTCCACACCTCTTCAAACCACCCGCGGGCGGCTCTGCAGCGATCCCTTCCCTTCCTTCCTTCCCTTCCTTCCCCGTCTCCTGGTGCTCATCTCCAAGCCTTTCGCTTTGCGTTTGCCCCTCGGACGCGCTCGGGGTCACAGAGCCTGACACACGGAGAGTGAATGGGGGAAGAACTCGAGGTTTTTGTCTCAACTGCCTTGTTCTCAGGACACTGTCACAGGTGCTCTCGTTCCTAAAATGGTTTCTCAAGGGGGTGGTGCGATCTCCACGATTTTTTTGCCCCTTGGCATGTCATTCCCTATGGCTCAGGATTCCTTCTGCTGCAGAGCTGCAGATTTCTATAGCACCGCAACAGGCCGGCTTCGCCCGCACGCACCGTTACCACGTTCAGGGTATAACAGGGAGTAGCTGCTGCTGCTGCTGCTACCAAATTGAGCAAAGGCAGTATGAATCCTCAAGTGGGGCCTACAACAGATAAGAGAATTTGAGGAGGAAAGGGGAAAGCTAACGTGATAAATTAAGTATCTTAGGGTTTTAGGTAAAGCTCTGCCGGAGAACGGGCACCAGCAGACTGACACAGTTTTAAGACAGATCAGCGTTTTGGTCTGAGCTACTTGACAATGTCCTGTTTGGTAGAGAGATGAAATAAGGCAGAGGGGGTATGTTCCAGTTCTGGGGCTGAGCCTCAGCAGCACTAAGGAACGCCAAAGGGTTTCATCTTCCCTCGCCTCCCACAAGCTGTTTCATTTCCTTCCTCAGATTTGTTTTCCTTAAAGCACACCTTGTTTTCCACTTCTTTTGTTCCAAGTGCTCTTTTCTTTGAGAAGTCATTTCTTCAATATCCCTATTACCTATCTATAAATCTAACTAGCTCTTTGAAAAGTCACACAATATTAATACCACTTTTACATAATGTCAGAACAACAATTCTATTAGTAAAGCTTTCAGTGAAGTTCTGTAACCCGATTGGTGTCCGGAGGAAGAGTAGCTGGACAACCCACCTCTCCCCCTTCCTCCCTCCCTTTCTTCACAAGAGCTCACCAAGTTCACTGATAAAACAACTCAGCCCAATAGCACGATACATGAACATGTACAAGGCTACTTTGGGGAGCAAAGAAGGGAGTCTCCAAGGTCCCTCTCGTAAGAGAAGGACCGTAAGCAAAAGCTGTTGAACAGACTCTGACCTTGGACTACACTGCTTCCACATTCGAAGGAAAGAAACAGTTTTTCCCTGACTGTATCCCAACATCAGCCTAAGACCTGCAGCACCGGGCAAGCCCCACACACCGTTCGTCTTCACAGAGCCGAAGCAACTCCATGCAGAAAAGGTGGGAGCACCCACAAGAGATGAGGTCCTCACAGAACGGGACACTGACCCAAAGCTCAAAAGAACCCCCGCCCGGCTTTTCCTCTTACCCGCTCCGAGAACAGCAGAGCTGACAATTAACTTATCAGTGCCTTTGGTTCCCTACGAGGCCACTGGGAATTCTCCCGCCCCAGTGGAGTCGAGCTCCTTTCGAAACCCACCTCTCCCCAGCCCCACGCACAGCCAGGCGCACGCACACCCTCGCGCACACACGCACGCACACCCACGCACACCCCTCTCCATCGGCCTCGACGGGAGATGAGGAGGGAGCCTTGGGGGTCCAGACGGAGGGGGCTGCAACGTCCTCCCAAGGCGACAACCACTCGCTCTGCTGCTGCTCCCACCGCAACACCAAGATGTACGCCAGGAGAACGACCCGCTCCCTCGCCAACGAGCCCACAAAGCTCCTCTCCCGCAGCTCTGTCTCACGGCACGCCAACCCTTTCGGGCACACCAGCCAGGTGCCAGGAGGAGGTTAGCTTTCACTTCTCAGTTTGGTTTTTTTTTTCTTTCATAGTTTTTGGTCTAGACAGGATTAGCATTGCTATTAGAAAAAGGAAGTGTTTAAAAAGTTTTCCGCTATTCTCAAGCACTACAAGCCCTACATTCAGTAACAAGACAAGGGGGATAAAAGGAACCTGTTTCACTTTTGCTCTCCCAGATAGATTAAGATGCGACAACCATTCTTCTCCCTCCCCGAAGTTCAATCCAAGGGACCCAGTTCAGCTCTGGAGCAACTCAACTAACTGAAACGGATTTTATACCACACCTAGGTTGATCTTAACCCATCGTCTTTCCCCCGAGCCTCCCGGATACGCGTTGCCTCATCTTTAGATCCCAGTGAAGGGCAAGGAAAGGCCAAGAGGGAGGGAAGTGTGCGCACACTCGAAAGGACCCTGAACAGCAACCCAATCAGTAACCTGCATGCCACCACGTGCTGTGCTGCAGATTAGACCACAGATAAACCAACCAAACAACAATCCCAAACCCAGGAGCGACAAAATGTTTCCTTTGGCAAGACAGATACAAGGAAAAAAATTCATGAGCAAACATTTTCCTTCTAACACAGTCAACCCCTTTCTCTGCGCCCAACATCCACCCACCCCCACCCGACCCTATAAAGTTGTAACCTATAAACAGGATCTCAAATACATACAGCATAATCATGTTTATCAATCATAATAAACATCAGTTCAACTAAACTCTACAGCTAGAATTATCTCCACTATTTATAAAGTTTGCTTTTCTCTTCTGATTTTTTATTTTTTTCAGTTTAAAACCAGTTTCTGCGACAATGCTAAGCTATGCTGAGGTATTTTATGAAGGTGCCAGAAGCCAGCTGCTACCCACAAGTATTGTTCTCAGAGCTGTATGGTGCTACCTTTCGCTGAGGGGAAGACGGGGGAAGGAATGAGGAGGGAGAGGGGAGGAGGGAGGGGGCCCAGATGATTCCAGTTGCGGACGGTTCTTAAGCAGAGTGTCACAGATGGAGCTAAAAGCAGCCCCGAGACAAAGCCCTGTAGTTGTTTTGGTTTCAGGAATTTGGTCAGAAAGGAAGTACCTGATACGTTCTACGTCCTGACCCTATCTGTCTACTCAACTACAAGGTGTCTCTTCCTTTCTCCCTCAGTTAAATTATTTGTATTTCCAGTGCAAGGTTCCTAACACCCTTCTAACAGCACCCCAAGGGGTAACAGTTCAGAGCACGTTCCCACTGAGAGCATCCTGGGAGAAGTGTCAGACAGATCCAATGAACATAGATAAGCTAAAAAAAAAAGATCAAGTTGATTTTCATGCGTTACTACCGTGTGTGTTTGCCTGTCAAGATATGCAAGTACAGGAATCGCCTCTTCCCATCGTCCCAAAAGCACTGAATCTACTTGTGCTGACACACAGGGAACCGGGTCGTGCTCAGATCACAGAGTGGAAGATATGAACACTTTAAGAAATTGCAAACTGTGAGTCCAGGACTTTATGGCAAAGCCTCCTCTGTCAAAAATCTTTAAAGTATTTCAGGGGTTTCCCTGCTGGAAAGAAGAGAAACACTCCTGGGCAGCAGCAGGAGTGAGAGTCAATGACCAAGAGGAGCAGAACCTCTCTGGAAGGTATGAATCCTGAATTCTGTATTGCTATAGTATTCTGGAAAGGGAGGGAGAAGTAAAAAGAGGTATTGGTTGCAAAAATAGAAAGGAATTGAGTTGGCTATGTGAGGACTGACCACCACAAACCCAGTGGGGGCAGTGGGTCAGGTTCCTCCTTTGGTAACACTCCACCCGAGGCAATGGTCAGGCTACACCCAACGGGTGCACCCATGCCCTGGGGATAAACATCATTTAACTGCTTCAGGCAGAACACAAACAGTGACTCAAGATAAAGTTAACATGGCAATAAATACATCTACATTTTAAACTTCTGGTTTAAAATCAAGTATCATTGCAAGTTTGGACCAGATGCAGTATTTTGTCTGTCCCAAAACACTCTAACGACCATGAGAAGCTACTCGTCTCTCTGAGTTTGTAAAGTAAATTTTTATCTAAGAAAATATCAATTGATATTTAAGGTAAATCAGATGCTGTTTTGGTTTAAGATCTGTGGGATCTGATGGTTCTAAGATCTCTTTAAGATCTGTTTAAGATCTGATGGTTCTAGCTGTAACGGGTGTTCTCCTCCATTTATAACGAAGAAAGAAATAAATTTTACATTACTCACACAATCACTGGCATGGAGAATTTTCTCTAATGTATTCTGGTAACAGCCATTCTCTTACTGTCCCCTGAGTAAAACTGGTTATTAATTATCCTTAATTAAACTGGAATTAATTATGCTAAAAGATTTTGGGAAGATACCAAAAGATCAGAAGTATAAAATTTTTGTTGACATTTAATTCTCACTGTAAAGTGTGTAAAATTAAAATGAGGGGTAAAAGTGGAGGCAGTGGATCGCTGTTGCCCAAATGAAAAGCTATCGTACTGTTGAGGAAACATTTGTTCTTGCGTGTTAAAATCAGCAGACAGCTTCTTTGCTCAGTGTTGTCACCCCCCTTATTAACCTAAAAGGTGCAACAAATCACAAGCTGTAGCCCCAAATACATCAGGAGCTATAATGTCCTCACTCAAAATCTCTTTCTCAGCCTGTTCATTTAAAGATCAAACTTAAACTTGAAGCTTCTGATCTCCTAAAAGGTCTATAATTCAAGCCATCAGAATATCTGTCTTCCTCTTAATGTTCTGGCATTTTAGTTTTCTCTTACAAGATAATCTCACTAGCACTCAAACAAAACTACTGAGCAACAGCAGCAGCACATTCCTACACGAAGACCCAACTGACTTTCAAGTAGGTTCTCCTCGCTGGTTCAGCCGAGCACAGATTTCCTGCTAAAGTCATTTTTTCAATGCAATTTAACTTGCGTTTCAACAACTATTTACTGAAGCAAGAGGATCTTAAGAAATAGAGGAACAATGAAGTGCTGTCACAAGTCACCCAAAGGAAAACAAAAAAATTGAAATCACGCTAGTCTGTGGCTGGAAAAAAAGAAAATCTCTTAAAAATCAGGTACTTGTGCAGGCAACAATAATGGTATCTCCCCAAAAATGTTTTGAGTGTGTGCACATACAGGCCACCTCAGAGCGACACGGCAAAATGTACTGTGACTGACACATACTGCACAGAACTCAGAAACAAAATAAATCCTCTTAAGGAGATTTAAATAGACAGCTGTGGCTCCTGTCTGCAGCCATATCTGGGTGGACTTTCCATGAGCTGTTCATGAATCATTCTACGATGATTACAGAGAGTGTGTTCTGAGGAGATCAAGTGTGCTAAAGCCAAACTGGAATACATTTTCCTAACATCAGAAAAAATTTCATCACCAGCCTACAACACCTCATCCCTAAATTGTTCTTTGAGACCTTCGGGGCGTATCTGTATTTGTGTCTCTGTAAATCTCCTGCTTTTTCAGCTAACTGTCCTTGGCTATAATGAGAGAGTTTTTCACCTTCTCTTTTCCTGCCTGTGTCCTTTGGCGTGCTTGCAACTATGAAAAGCCATCCACACATCTTTAAATAGAGAGACACAGAGCTCTGAAAAAGAGATGCTATTATCCTTTTCTAACACGCTATGAAATTCCTTCTGGTCCTGGTTGACAGATCAATACAGGAGCAAATGTACCAGCATACAGCTAGAAAACTGTTTAGAAATGAACATTTGCACAGAAAAATCTTCCCCTAAAAAAGAACAGTGGGGATTTAAGATGGTGAGTATGTAACAGAAAATCATGTCCGTTCAAAATATGAACCTGCCGATACTGGAATCAGAGATGTAACTTTGTGTTACTGGAGGGGGAAAAAAAAAAATCAGATTTGTTTGCTAAATAAATGTCCTGGGTCTGTGTCAGCTAGTTTGTGACAATCATGTCATCATAATTCTCCATTTTCCACACTCATGAACTCAGATCACGGTCATATTTACTATATTACTGTATACAATTGTTATTCTCTTTTCAGATGCATCAATTCCTGTTGTCAGCGTGATTAGGATTGAAAAAATCAACTTTTGCTAAATTGCAGTACATGATCTCATAACTCCTCTCATGCTCTGAAGGAGCAGAGAGCAGACACACTCTAACTAGGCAGGTGTACAGCCCCTGCCAACCTGATTTCCACCTTTCACCTACGCACTGGAGGTAGCCAGCATCCATGAGACAAAACACAGCCAGGGATGAAAAGCAGGAGCGACGGTCGCTCACCTGGGATGTTCTAGGACAATAAATCAGAGCACAGTGGTGATAGAGCCACGGGGATATGTGCTGTTTGGGTATTATGTCAGCTTCTGCGAGCTAAACCAAGCTCTTTCTGGATATGTAGCTAATCTGAGTTTCCAGTTTCTCTCAGAAAAAGACGTGCTAAGAAATTCCCTGGAATCTGGGCCCCAGAGAGGGTGATGGGGTAGAGAGGAGGAGGGTAAGGGGGTATAAGGTGCTCACACCAAAGCCATGTGACCAATGCAAAGGTAGTCAGGAAAAAAAGCAGATTTTTATAATAAATAAACCATCCAAGCTGCATTAGTGTTCCAGATATGTACTCAACAAGACCCTCTCCCAACCACAAACCAGCAAGAATGGGACATGAAAACTCATTCAGACAGCTAATGGCACAGTCTCTTGGAACTGTAGAGAGAGGATTTTCCGCTGATTTAAGGCCCACCTTTCTTTGTGTTTCCTAGATCTAAGCAAGGACCGTGCCCCCCCACCCCACCACAAAACCCTTGGGGAACAGAGGATACATCGGAGAACAAACCGGTAGTACCACCCCTGCCCTTTAACAAAAAAAAAGCTTCCTGATCCATGGGATTTTTGCACAGGCGTGAAAGTAAGCAGGAACTTTCAGGGATGAACGTGATAGCTGCAGTTTTCCCCATCCTCTTACTTCACTGAACACAACAAGTCCCAGGGACTTGCCTTCCTTTGGTAGAAACTAGTCTGTGCTATGGCCTCCAGAGCAGCATCTCCTCTTCCCTACCTCCCTGAAGCTCGCCCAGCTATACATCTTTTACTGCTCTGAAACTATTACCGTGGGCCATTTCCTTTTCTGCAGAATTATTCACAGCCCTGAAAGACTCCTGCACAGCCTGAAGTCATAGAAACACATCAAAACCACTTAGATTTATCCATACCGGTGAGATGAAGGTGGGACCTGTTGGATTAACAATCCCCTGACGTTGCCATTCTATTTACACATCAAACAAAAGAAAAACAAATTAAAATCAAGTTAAGAGTCTGCCCCAAGAATAACACAAATTACCAACCAAAAAAAAAAAAAGATTAAAAACAAGCAGCAACTTTTATATAAAATTAATAAAAACAAAAGACAAATGAAAAAGAAATTGTCAGTAGCATCTATCGCCTCTCTGCATCTGAACTGCACTTATACAAACTAGTCCATTAGTACAGCAGCTTGCTAGAAATTGACTTTGGTTCAAGCTTAGTTTTAAAAAAATAAAACATAAAAAAATCAAAAACACATTAGAAAACGGTGGACGGACATTTGTTAGTTTCCCTGCTTGCAGTTCACTAGTTTTTGAAGTTTTAGGGATACTCGGTTTAAATATTCAGTAAAACAGGAAGGTGGAGGAGAGTTAAGAGATGAACAGAGCAAAAAAAGACGGCGGTGGGGGGGAAGAGATAAGGGGTTCTGCCACTTGAGTGCAAACGCAAATCCCACATGCTCAGGTCACAAACCAAAGCATATGTAGAGTATAAAGTTGCTGCCTTCTGGATCTTGGATGAGAAGCTCCAGGATCCCCCTGAATCATCAACAAAATGAACATAGCTGCATCAGCTCGTTATTGTAGGACACTCCGGTGACAAAAGAAAAGGAGGTGGGGGGAAAGGGACTCTTCTAATACCCTCACTAGCTAAAAGTAATTTAGTTTTATACACATGGCAGAAACCTTTAAATCCATCAGGAATGGAAAGTTCAAAGTGAACTGCATTGCAGTGATCCAGTCTTCTCTTTTAAAAAAAATCTTTTCTTTTTTTTTTGGTTCAGATACTAGATTGTATATTTAAGAATATACAGATCTAACTTCTGTACAGTTCGGGACTCTTCCTCATCCAAGTAAATATCCTTTGCCACACGGATCAGAATCAACCTGGAAAAGATGGTTCCAGCGGCAGGCAAGCCCTGACGCTCTGCTCAGATGATGCTTCTTGCCATTTTTACACAACTAGCAGCATCACAGCTCAGAGACTACAGGAGATCACCCAGGTATGTGCAAAGACCCAGAGTCACCTCTATTGTGTGGGCATAAACGATGGTAACTTCTGTTCTCGTGTTGTTGGCTTCTGTGTTTGGCAGCCAGAAGCGCTTTTTTACCACCAAGTTTTTCTAAATACAATGTTGGAAGCATCAGAGTTAAAGGAAAAGAAATATCGCTATGAATAGGGAGAATCTGACCTAGGGAGAATCAGATCTGATCAGACAGAGCTGAAATCCTGTACCAATTCACCTGGTGGGAACCCAGGACTGTAAATGCTGCTTTACATACTGCCAATTAGCTGGGGTAACTTGATATTTGAAAAATATTTGTGTATGTAATTTTAACAGCAAAATGACATCAGTAGAACAGAAGAGCCACCGGTACGTCACACAATCGAGACTCGGGAGGTCAAATCCTGCTCTCTGAAATAAAAAGGAACCATGCACGCAAAGCTCAGAGCAGAATTTGGCCACTTTGTCTAAATAATTGAGAGAATAAGAACTGCAGTTCGGAACTAATTCCTACCTCTGCTCAAAAACCATAGACCAAGTTTGCACACAGTGATCTCTACTGCTACACTGAGCTTCCTGCACAAACGATGAACATCAATTCTTCTGACCCCTCTAAGTAACCATCAGACAAATTCAAGGATGAGGAAACTGTTCAGAACGTTCCCAGAAGATTAATTAGGACAGAAAGTCTATTTGTGCTCCATTCTTCCTCTCCACCCTCCCACCCTCCCCCTCATGGTGTGGGAGCTCGCTGAAAATAATCCAGGAGCAAAAGACAAACGCGTCCAAACTATATATATAAAAATAATAATAATAATAATCATAATAATAATAATAGAGATACACCAGTAATACAGGCCTGCCTAAATTGTACCAGTTAAGAAAGGAACCCCCAATACGATTGATACGATTATAAACACCTTGTATGACATAATGGCCTGTACAACAGACCGATAAAATGATAATTAAAAAAGAAAGATATTCAGACCAAAAAGAAACAAGAAATCCCCTTCCTATGTTTGAGCTGATAACCCACCTTAACTTGTCATTGTGACTGCTGGAAATGATAAGTAGTCCTTTCACTTTTTTTTTTTTGTGGTTTTTTTTTTTTGTTTTTTTGTTTTTTGTTTTTTTTACATTTTTGGTTAGAAAGTTCTCCGATCCATGAAGCGATCCTGAAAAGACAGTGTTTATTATAAAATTAGGCAAATGTCTGTCCCAGCTTTAAATCCTTCCTGTTTTGCTTTTGTGTTTTTTTTGTTTGTTTTTTTTGTTTTTTTTAATCTTTTTTCCTTGTCTCCCTTGTCCCCAGCAACATGGCGAGAGGATGCCCATCACATTTGCAGTTTATAAAGCCCGCTGGCAGCCAATCCCACTGCACAGTGACACAGGCTGCTGGCAGCACAGCTCAGCCCGGCTCACTGTGCCTTGGAGGCAGTAGTGGTGGTGGACGTGGCCCCGCTCGCAGAGGCCACCGTGAGGAGAGAGTTCTGGATGGACTCGGCTGAGGTGGAGGTGGCGTGAAGGCTGGCGACTGGTCCAGAGGCCCCTGCGGAGGCTGCAGCTGCAGAGACCAAGCTAACTGGGTTGCTGGTGAGCAGAGAAAGGTTCTGAGGGTTCAGGAACAGAGGGGCAGTTACGATGTTAGGAGTACCTCCGGCATTGGCAAACACCAAGTTTCCAGTTGCATCCAGTGATGTTATTGGAAGGGAGCCACCAGATGCAAGAGCTAAAGAAGGGAAAATTGAGCAGGGAGGAGATAACATTAGCAGTAAGCAACAATCTAAAATGTGTCTAAAAGCAACTGGGCCCCGCGTTTTCCTTTCTCTGATACGCGTGCTCTCTACGCCGTTAATGAGTCATCTCATCATAGGTTACAACTTGCTCTCACTGGTCTACAGTGTTCACTCTGCCTTAGATTATCATCTCCTAAATTTATCCACAAAGAGGATGAGGGGCCTGGAGCATCTGCCTGACGAGGAGAGGCTGAGAGAGCTGGGACTGTTCAGCCTGGAGAAGAGCAGCCTGAGAGGGGATCTGATCAATGTCTATAAAGATCTGAAATGTGGGGGCCAAACGGATGGGGCCAGGCTCTTTTCAGTGGTGCCCAGTGACAGGACAAGGGGCAATGGGCACAAACTGGAACACCAGAAGTTCCACATGAACTTCAGGAAAAATTTCTTTCCTGTGAGGGTGCCGGAGCCCTGGGACAGGCTGCCCAGAGAGGGTGTGGAGTCTCCTTCTCTGGAGATGTTCCAAAACCGCCTGGCCGTTCCAAACCCGCCTGGACACTTTCCTGTGCAACCTGTTGTAGGGAACCTGCTTTGGCAGGGCGGTTGGACTGGATGATCTCCTGAGGTCCCTTCCAACCACACCATTCTGGGATTCTGTGATCTGTGGGACTTTATGAAATGTCTCTTTCTTGTACCCTGGAAACAAGATTTGTTCAGAGAAGCTAGTTTAGAAAATATTTGAATACACAGGTTAGCTCGCTCTTTAGGTACTTGCACTATCTAGATTTTACAGATGACACACTATGACCCGTGAACAACTCTTGCTAAAGTCAGTGGAAACTTCTGGCCGTGTGACACTTCCAAAATAAATCTTTACTCCTTTGGATAAGGATTTATGGATTTAAAGTTGTACATAAGGATTTTAGGACTTGGGTTGTTAGTTGTACATTCTTTTTAAATACATACAAGGACAAGAACTCAGGATCAAGTCTTGCTCAGAACTGCCCTCCTAACAGACCTCAAAATAGTGTAACTCTGTTCAAGCTTTTGCTAGAAGAGCTATAAAAAGCAAATCTCAAACCTGCTGGAGATACATGTCAATGGGGGGGAGATATCAAAATAAATTCCAGATCACATTCAGTGTCTTAAATGCCTCCTGTAAATCACTACAAGATCACACACAGTTGTATTCCCCTTTCTGAAGTTGTACCTGCTCTGTGATATAAAAAATGCATTTAAATTTTGTAAAACCTTTACTCCCATAACATTCATGCCCAGTGCTGACAAGTCAGTGTTCTTTTTTTGGTAAAGAAAAACCAAAAGCACATAAACTGAAGTTGTATGACAGAGATGCATCAAAAGGAACATGACTGACCTTGAATAGTTGCCAGTGTACTGTTGCTCATCAGGGCTGGGCTGAGAGCACCACCTAATGTCCCTGGATTGAGACTGAGTAAGGCACCTCTGCAGGAAGCAAAATTGTGGAAGAAACAAAGACAAAGGGGAAGAAGTGTTACTTTGAAGAAAAGGTTGTCACTGTTCAGAAGTATACCATCATTATTTTTTTTTTTTTTAAAAAAAGGAAGGTAAGACCAGAGATGAAAGACTAATTTTAGTTTATTTTAGTTTTTCCTTCATGATGCCTTTAGTAGACGTTACCTTTCAGCTGTGTGGGTGAAGTACAGGCACTGTAAATACATGACTTGTATTGATCTGTTGCTGTAAAATACTCTTGTAAAGTATTTTGGGGAAATTGTCACTTGTTAGAGCGCTATCATCATCTCCCAAATTCAGATAAGAAAGATGTAAATCAAGAAATGGAGATTCATGTCTCAGAGCAACATTTTAAAAACTAAAACTTCAACAATACATCATTGTGCCTATTTTACAGCTTCTTGTTCACGATGGAGAAATGAGCACAGAGGTGTGAAGCGGGTCTAGGCTAGCTCTCCATTTTAAAATCAGTAGAACACATTCTATGATTCACTGGTAAGTTGCAGCTCTTAAGTCAAGCCCTGCAGTGGGATGGATGACTTATCAAAAAACAACATTGCTGCAATACAGCTTTTTTCATCTGTGAAATGAAAACAATATTTGTGTACGTTGATGGGAATGGCCAATTGCCATCTTTAAGCAAACCTTCAGAATTTGAGATAAATGACACTAGAATCACCAAGTGAGCTACCAGAAAACAGTGACACATAAAAGCAATTTATCCCAAGAATTCTCCTTCCCTCTTTTGTCATCTCACCTAAACAGGTGGGAAAAATTCATCCTTACCCAGCTGCAAACTGCGAGGATGCCATCAAGCCTGGGTTTAGTCCTGCTGCAGCAGCCATGGCAGCAAGACTTGCATTTGCAGGCAACTGTGCAGCTCCTTGTAACGCGGCTGCTGCCGCTGTTTGCAACCCTGATGCCGTTACCATCACCTGGCTGGTCCCAAGAGGGGAGGACAAGGGAGTGGAGGTTGTCTGTGTTGTGCTGGTCTCACTGGCACTGGATGCCTCTGAAGCTGAGGCAGAAGGGGAAGGACTCGGGGAGGGTGATGTCACTGCTGAAGAAGCTGGAGGTGCTGTTGAAATCACTGTTGCCGTGTTGTTGGAGGTGGTTTCTGTTGTGCCTAGAAGATTGATTCTGATTAGATCAGTACAAAACACATATATGACTGAACAGAAACTACTACCCACCTGAACTGCACTGCACATCCCACTGAAAGGGAGACAAACACACATTTTTGTAGGACCAAGAAGCACCAAGAGTCCAAATGAGAAGCTCAGACTACAATGAAATGACACTTCCCAACAGGAGGCTGAGGAGCTCTCAAAGCTAGCGATGGAATATAGCATATTTAATTTCAGCATCACCTGTGATTTTACCCCCAGAAAAGACAATTGAATGGTCACAAAGACTAAAGTTTCCTAGTGGAGTAAAAAGGAACAATGACAAGAAAGCCCTGGGATACCAGTGACCAATACTGAATGACCTTCTGAAGGGTTTAAAAGGTGAAAATGGTAGAGGTTAATGTGTGGGGACGAGAAATCAGCCCTTACCTGTGACTGACAGACTAGTTACAGCAGGACTGGCCAGAGGGAGCACAGGATTGACAGTCAGGGTTGTAGCGGCACTGCTAGTCACAAGGCTTGGCGTGGTTGCCACCTGGAGGTCAAAAAAGAATAACAACTGAGAACAGACAAAAAGTTAGGTACCAGACTTGGATTTCTTTCTTCCCATCCTCAGCTACGGAAGTTATCAGGGAAAACAGTGCATATAAACTAACTTTTTTGTAATTCCGTTACTTTCTCATTCAGTGGACCAAGCATAGTACCTTCTCTAATTACCAGCAATATCTTTATATTCTTAATCATTCAGTATTTGAAGGGAGATATATTCATTACATCCATACTGTCTCAGTAAAGTCTCATAAATGCAAGTTACCCCTCCCTCTCTGCCTCCCCCCAAAGACAGCACCTTGTTTTAACAGAGTCACTCTTATAGCAAGGGCTACAAAATATATTATTTCTGCTTTTTTTTTCTTGTTTAAACATCTTTTCAACTCCAAATCTCTTTCTCTGATAAAATTATTTAAAAGACCCAGAGTTTCCAAAGGCATTTAGGGTAATGTGTTTACACAGATAAACAGAGTAACATTTCACTTTTACTCAACAGAACTATAAGCTCTACTTTGATAAGTTTCCTTGTGCCAGAGGAAGGATCTCTGAATTTTAAAATATTCAAATGACATCAGCTAATTTGACTTATGGACAGCTTATTACAAGAAAACTACAATAAATTGAAGACATTACAGATAAAAAGCACCACAGATTTAAGACTGGTAGAACTAGCTTATAAGGAAAAAATGAAATATAAGGAGAGAAAGGACTTTTTATGGACAAGAAATGGTGTCCAATAGTAATATTTGAAGGATGTTATACATCAATGAGAGAAATGAATCCTTTAGAATTGCCCAAGAGAACACAGCCAAGGATATAAGCTAAAACCTTCCTCTTTTCCCCTCTCTTACCTTAAGTTTATTATCAGAGAAATTTCTCTCATGCTGCTTATCCTCTTAAAGGAAGTCAAATGCTTCATGCATTTTAAACAAGACTGGGGCAACTGGGACAGATCTAAAAGCTTTCTGCCCATCTCAAATAGTGTAAGAAGAGCTAGATACATAGTCCAATTCCCATGAACGCAGCCCAGACATCGTATCTGTCATCTCTCCACTGAACAGTTAAGGCCAAGGTCACAATCCATCTTTCAGGGCAGTGAATGACCTAGAATTAATACAGCTAACCCCATGGTTACAACGACTGACTTCAGCCAGCACAAAAGCAGGCTGCCATCAGAAGGAGCTTGCCCCTCCAATTCTGCTTTGCAGCCCCAGCACTTGTGCAGGAAGGCTACAAGTCAGATTGGTTATCTAGTCATACTGAAAATTCATCAGTGTTCTTCACATGGTTAATTTGCAGTCAAACTAGTAAACTAAGCTCAGTCATCCCGTGGACACAGAATCTCCAGAGCTGACACAAGGAATCAACACAGCACATGGCCAGTGAAGGCTGGGGTGGCAGGGATGGAACGTCCCTTTGAGTGCAAGCACAGTCTTATGAGAAGCTTCCAGTAAGTGAAAATGCTGAGTGAAAATCACTGAAAAAATGGAGACTGTGGTTAAGACCTGGCCTGGTTTGTAGCTGGGACAGAGCTGGGTTTCTTTTTAGCAGTTAGAACAGTGCTGGGGTTTGGGTTCAGCTGGGATTTGTTAGGAGAGAAATGCTGAATAACACACCAATGTTTGCATTTGTGTCCCTGGGAGTGAAGGACTTTGTGTTCTGTCCGTCTGCAAGTGCAAGATCTCGAGGGGTGAGGAATATTGAACTGAATCAGCTCCATGGGCATTGGGCTCTGCCAAGGGGCTGTTCCATCTCCTGTCCCCCATGGGCAGGAGATCCATGAGGGGCTCTTCCTCTCTTGCTCTCTCTGGCTTTCGCTCGGGCTCTGGCTCTCCCGGGATTGCGGTTTCGGGTCGGGATTGTGGCTCCTCCGGGATCGTGATCTGGGAACGGGCCGGGCTTGGTCAGCGGTTGGTGAGCAATGGCACTGGGCATCACTCATTTGCATATTTTATTACTATCATTATCTTTACTATTTCAATATCAGTATTATTTGAAGTTTTATTTTATTTCCATTATTAAATTGTTCTTCTCTCACCCTACGAGTCTCCTTACCCTTGCCCCCCAATTCTCCCCCCTATCCCCTGGGGGATGGTGATTGAAAGGCTGTGTTTGGCTGCCCACCACAAGACCTCAATTTCTTTCATATAATGGCAGCTTATAACAAAAGGGAAAATTATTTGGGAAAGCTTTCTTGGGTTGCAGTTTGAGTAAGCTCACATGGTTATTAGAACACACTATCATATATCTCACTATGTTCTGCTTTGGTAGCAAGGTATGCAACCTTGCTTTCCAATTGGGGAAAAATAATAAATAAATAAAAAGACTAAGTACATTTAACACATCCCTTCCCCTGAAACAAAAGGTTGCATGCACACATCCTGAGACAAGGATGAGGGGAAAGAATGACATGTCACCAAAATTAATGGTTTAATGAAGTACTGGAAGAAATTAGCTACTACAGTGATGAGGGTGGAATAAATACTACAAAAGGACAGCTACAGGCTACATAAATTCCACCACATTCCTATTAGCATAGCTACTATGAAATCTAATAGCTACTGTTTCTATTTATGCAAACAGACCTCCATGGACATTGGTAGTAAAGGAGCTGAAGGAACCTTGATGCATGTGTTTTGTTACTCTTATTTTCATGAAGTTTGTGTTTACCTGAGGCAAATACAAGTGTGGGAAATTAATTACATGAGTATTAGCTAAATTGTTCCTTTGTTCCATGTCTTTTTTAATATCAATCATTCCTCACTGAAAGTGACAGCAACAGTATTATTGGACTTGTGTGACTTAAGTCTCCAAAAGATAAGTTTTCCTGCTGCTTATCTACTTATCAGAGACAGCCAAAATAAGAGGGGAGGGTTAGAGGTGTTAGGCATTTTTTTACTACTACTGTTATTTTACGAAAAAAGCTTGGGCAAGACAGAAAGTCCAGATATAAACTGGAGTTACTATCTGGAACATGTTCAAAGCAGTAACCCCAACTGCAAATTTGCTAGTCAGAATATTTATTCACAAGCTGACTAAATAAAACACTCAAACTGAAGGCCCAGCTAGTGCCTGTTTTGTACACATTTTCTCTTTTATATAGTATGCACGTAGGACAATTAAAATGCCAGTAAAATATAAATTTGTGAGAACAAGCCTGCTGTACAATGAAGGTGTAGCACGTGTAGCTTCCACAGGGAGCACAGTAAAACCACCTCTTCCAGTCATCTTTGTCAACACAGTTTCTTGATCCTTACCAGTGAGGTTGGGCAAGGGAAAATTGCTTTGATGGGTGAGCTGCTGGTTCCACCACTGCTGGGTGGGTTGATCCTTTTCTCCTTCTGGCGCCGGTTACAGAACCAAACGCGGATCACCTCCTTCTCCATGTTTAGCTGGTCAGCTATCATGGTGATCTCATCCGAGGTAGGCTTTTGGTTCTGAGAAAATTAAAGAGTACTTGAAAAGCTGTGAAATTACCCTCTGAAGTTTTACATTCTAGCTGCTTCTTCACTAGGCAGAAATCTAGATGGGCCATTTATACCCAGAATTTGGTCAGTGGTACAGTAGAGATAGACAAAAAATTACTTCAGCCCTCCATCTTCCTAGTTACAGGAACATCTCTACCAACAGTAAGCTGTGTTCCTCAGAGACAGGCAACGAAGGCTAAGCTCACATGCTTCTTTTTGAGAGAAGGCATCTGAGTTGTGAGTTAATCCTGCAAGGAATTCTAGACCTTGATAAGAACATCTTTCTTACAGTATCTCTCAAAAAGGAATAGGAGAGATTAACTATAGCAACAGCCAAATGAACCCCAAGTTGTCTAGACCTATAATGAAAGACAGGTAGATTGAATGGGCTACTTACAGAGGCTACCTGCCCACAGAGCTGCACAAAGTGCCTAACAAGAGTGACATAAGGCCAGATAAAAACCTCACAATATGTGTGTTTAGACTGTCATCTCATTTATCCCTCCTCAGAAATGGTAATCTTATTTTCTTCTTTTTGATGTGCAGAATATCAAGCTTAGATCTATGGCTCAGTATCTTGGAATGCAAAATCACAAACCAATGAGTTTTTTGGAGGGGTTTTGTGTTCTTATTTTTTTCTTGAAGTGACATAGATGTCAATGCGTCCTTCTTGGCACAGCTTCTGTATTCACCTTATTTAGCACAAGCACTTTTCTAAATAGCACAGGAATGGGTTTTCTCTAACAGATATGATTGTTAAGCAAAGTTTCTCCATTTCTTTATAGGCTGAGCAGAGCAACAGGATCACTGACCTCCAGGAAACTCTTCTCTAAGGCCACACGTATGTTGGTCTCTATGCTGGTGCGTTTCTTCCTCCTACGGTTCAAGCCTTCGATCCCTTGCCCTGGAGAATTCAGGGCACTTGGGCTGGAGAGAGTTGAATCACATGAGAGGTTTTCTGAAAAAAGAAAGTAAAATAAATCATGAGATCTTATGTGAATGCAGTGCAGTCTAATGCAAGTGTTCTTCGCCTGTGTAAGGTATGTTAAAACCCACTCTGTATATAATTCCAAATATACAGAGATTTCCAAAGATCAAAGGTATTAATGGTTGTAAATTACAACAAATACTTGAAACTTAAAAGCCACAAGCCCAGAGGACGCTCTCTGCTCCTGTACAGTACCACAGGATCCCTTTAATAATACCTATGCAATGTTTGTCTCCCTTATCTCATTCCACCCCACGCTCATTCACTCCAAGGCACAGTTTAAAAAAAAAAAGCAGCAAGTGATAACCATTAGCCACAGCTCTAAGTCACAGGCAATTATGCAAAAGTATCAGCAGCCTGAAATTTCTTTTACCCACTCTGTAATGCACTAGAGGAAGAGGAAGTTCATAGCCAGCTTCACAGTGTTCACCCTCTTCTCTCTGGAGAACTCAGCAGATACTCAGTGCTATGCAGTTCTACCAATCAGCCTACGCAGCCAGCAGCTCCCACTCCTCAGCTTCACTAGGTCTCTGTCAACCCCTAATCATAGTATCATAGAATGGTTTGGGTTGGAAGGGACCTGAAAGCTCATCCAGTTCCAACCCCCCTGCCAGCAGCAGGGACACCTTCC